AAAAAAAAAAAAAAAAAAAGGTGGGGGGCTGGCAGAGTGGTTCAAGTGGTAGAGCACCTGCCTCGCCTGCATGAGGCCCTGAGTTCAAACCCCAGTACCGCCAAAATAAATAAATACAAATTTAGAAACTGGTTAGCTCTTCGATGATAAATCTGATAGAAACCAGGGATTTATTTTTAACCTTTCAAGTAGATAAATTTGACTCCTTTAGATAACTCATACAAATTCCTTAAAATAACTTCCAACCTTGAAATAAATGCCATCAAATAATTTAAAATTATAGTTAGGAAAAATTAAAGAATGATCTCCCAAATGGAAATTAGTAGTATAGAAAGTGATTATTAATTTTAAAAAATGATATTACTCAGACAGGTATTTGTACAACAGTATTCTTATCAGTATTATTTACAATAGTCAAATGGTATAGACAGCCTTTCAGGAGGTGAATGGATAAAAAAGATGAGATGTATGAATACAGTGTCATAGTAATTGGCTTTAAAGGGAAGGAAAAGTCAGGCACTGGTGGCTCATGCCAGTAATCCTAGCTACTCAGGAGGCAGAGATAAGGAGGCTCTCAGTTCAAAACTAGCCCTGGGCAAATAGTTTATGAGAACCTATCTCAAAAAAACCAACACAAAAAAGGGCTGGTGGAGTGGCTCAAGGTGTAGGCTCTTAAGTTCAAACCCTAGCACCACCAAAAAAAAAAAAAAGTAAGGAAATTCTGACACACACTTCAACACATCTACTCCAGAACCTTGAGGATACTATATTGAGTAAAACAAACCAGGCACAACAAGACAATCACACAGCCTGTGTGATTACATGAGCACTTACATGAGGCTGTAGAGTACTCATAGAGACAGAAGGTTCAGGGGTGGGGGGGGTGATGGGAGTTAGTGCTTAATACATATGGAGTTTCAGTTTGGGAAGATGAAAAAGTTCTGGAGATGGATGGTGATGGTGGTTGCACAAAAATGGAAATGTACGCAATGACATTGAACTATATATTTGAAAATGGTGAATTTTGTGTTATATGTTATTTTGTAAAAAAAAAAATGTTTGTAAGGACTGGTGGAGTGGCTCAAGTGGTAGAGCATCTGCCTAGCAAGTGTGAGGCCCTGAGTTCAAACCCCAGTTCCATCAAAAGAAAATTGTTATAAAAAAGGAATCCTTCAGATATTAAGGGCATATCACTGGAGTTGGTGTTTTTCCACCCTTTTTTGCTCCATTATGGGAAAACTGACTATACAATGTCTTTAGCAGCTTTTACTCACATGCTGTGAGGAAATGGAGCTCTTCATGGGATGGTCTTTCTCCATTTTGCTCCTCCTCTGAAAGGGCTTCTTACACATGGCACAGGACAGTGCCCTGCAAAAGTGTCAAGGCCCAAGGGCCTGGTGTTTGTGGGCTTCAGCCTGTCATTGTGTTCAGGGCTCTTGTCTCTTCCTTCGTTCCAGGGTCTGGGAAAAGCAACTATGTACATCACATGGTGGCGATCCTAAGCAGTAAAAAAATGATCCCAGCCCTTTGTCTATCTTCCAGGTTATGTAATCTAGGTTGGAAAATAAGTGGGAAAGAAGAGAAGCCACCCTAAAAATTAGCACTTCCAAGATCAGATTATGGAACCAGTTAAGTGCCAAGGGATTGATATACAAGGACACTGACTGCCTCCACAGTGGGACTTCCACAGCATTGGTCAGGGCTCTGCCCCAGGGTCTCCCAAGAATGTATAGTCACGCTGCACTCACTTCTATACATAAATATTAAAGCAGGTTAGCCCAGAGAGATGAGCAGGGAAGGAGGGCAGTCGAATCCTCAGCCAAGTTGTGTTTGGGACTCTGAGCAAGTTTGGCAATGCTTCTCCCTAAGGCCTGGGGATGCACCTCAGTGGTAAAGGCTGGCCTGTCATGTGTAAAGCCCTGGGTTGGATCCCTAGCACTACAAGAAAAACAAAACGAAATAAAAGCTTGTCTGAAATACCTTCCTTGAGGTTGGTCTGTGCCCACTGGCTCTGCTGCTGTAGAAGTATGGCTTTCATAGGTGGACAGAGCCCACACTTGGGGACTTCACTCTTTCGTGTATTCGAATGTCCAAAAATATCTGCAACTTCCTGTTTTGTACCAGGCTGGAAAGGAACTTGATCTTGTCTGACTGACTGGGTTTTGGCCATTCAAATAACAAAACTACATATTGTGGTTAGCTTAGTTCATTAGCTCAACTTGTATAAATCGCTTTTTTAAATAAGGAGGGAAGAAGTGTGTATTTTGGAACCAGTTTCTAAGTGGTTCCAAGCCACTGGGATTTAGGAAAATTGTCTGGACTGAGTATGAGGGAATCTCTTATGGTAGAAATTGGTTTTTTTTTTTTCTTGTTTCTTGTCTGTAAGTGATCGCCCATTTATTAGAGTCAACACTGGCACCCAGCTTTCTGTTGGAGGAAGCTCAGTTAGAGTGCCAGATATTCTCTGAATGCTGGTTTATGGCCTGGGATGGAAAGTAGGCATGGAGAATGGGAAATCACAATAGAGTTCCGCCAAGAGGAGCACTAATGATTTGGAACTCATAGGATACATTTGCGCTCCTTGTATACTAGCATTCTATTGTGTGCTATATTGTCTGAAAGATTCTTCAGCCCAAAACCTTTCATTTGTTACAATCTAGAGCTGTTTCCTTCAGTAGCCTCATTTCTTACCAACTTGGCATAATTGGTTTTGCTTTACATTTCAGAAATCGCCTCTCATGGATATTCCTGTATTGCAGTTTTGCTTTGCTTTTGTCCAAAGGTAACGTAGTTCCCACACAAACACTGTTGAATGCACATGCTGTTGCCGGGACCATGAGTAACCATTCTGGTTTTATTAGTTGACAACTGGAGAGCCTAGTTCAGAAAATATCTTAAAGGTGTCTTAGTTTCTTCCCAAAGCATGGGATTAGCCTGAGTATCTTTATTTTTCCTACTCTGGAGGTCTGTTACAACATTTTAAAATTTGTGTGCTGCATATTGAAACATTTTATGTCAGTAAAGCTTTATGTAAGGGCTATTAAACTTGAAAAGATTCAGGTTTGTATGAAATTGATCCCAGCACACACGTGCTAAAGACCTCTCTTTTAGAAAGAAGAAATGATGATTTCCCATACTGTTCTCAGTGCCTCCTGTGGTTCATGCTGAGTGCCTTCTGCTCTGGTTTACTCATCAGAATCTCAGTCTGGGCTAAAGTAGGTCTGGAAGGGGATTCCCCAGTAGGCAAAGAAAGCGTCCCTGGGCCTGTGTCAGATCTTACCAGGGTAGCATCCCAGGTACACCTTCTAGGCCCTTCCTCTTGGTGGATCCTGTGTTGCAATATATGTGGGTGGAAGAGGTCAAAGGCCTTCTCAAGGAAGCCTCAGTATCCTTGCCTAACTATCAGGAGCCCTACATTAAATAACTGTGATAACCAGGAACAGTCCTGGTTCACAGTCAACATTCCATAGTTTTTCCCACTCATCATGTTCTGAAGTTGCAGGAAGATAAACTGAGGATCATACTTCCAGGAGTCATTAAGATGAGGGTTAATATTATTGCTTAAACAAAATTAGAGATAAGGGCAAAATAGTTTCTGCTGGGTAGCGAGGGGGTGGTGGGGGGGGCAGGGGAAGGGAGAGGGAGTGGGAAGGGGGGAGAAATGACCCAAACATTGTATGCAAATATGAATTAAAAAAGAAAAAAAGATGAGAGTTAAATTCAGACCAGCTGTTACCCTTTAGCCACAGGCATTATTATAGTTCTTTACTCCAGGAGTTAAAGGTGAGTGGGTCACATCCTTCCTTAGGACAGCTAATACCCATTGTGATACTAACAGATGTTTATTGCAGAGTGGTCTCTCAGCTTTCTCAGCAGCTGCAGGGCACATTTTTATCATCTTTTTGATGCAGAGGAAAATCTGGGACCCTGTGGCCTCATTTAAACTTTTACAGACTGTGTTGCATTGCCTGGCTGTGTAGCCCTACTGTCAGCATCCTCCTCCTTCCAGGGAAGTCTGACCTGAGAGCTGCCCCTGAGGGAAGGTGGAGGGTGTGATCCACTTCCTGAAGGGCATGGCCTGACCTTCTCTCTATAGCCTGGTGACAACTGGTGTGTGTTACCAGCAAGACAGAAAAAGCAGAGTATTAGAAAGGCCAGACAGAGATCAAAGCTGATCATCTGGTTTTAGGCCTTTATTTTATAGACAAAGAAACCAGGGCAAGATCTCAGCTCCCCTAACTCCAAGTGCTTGCTGGAATGCTAAAATTGAGTTTGTGTATACTGTAATTAAAATAAAAGCACTTTTGTAAATGTCACAGTGTACTCCCAGTACAATAATATGATAAAAAAATTAATTATTTAATAAAAAAATAGGAAATAGGTCAATCAGATACGCTCTTTCCCCATGTTAATGTTACTGGTGCCATCTGTGATGAAAGGATCTTGGTTTTTGTGCTCCAAATGGAAGAATCCAAGCAGAGCACATGGATGGGGTGAGGTAGAATAGTTTTATTGAGAAAAGGGGAGTCACCCATTCTGCCAGGTGAGGAAAGAGAAGAAGAAGGGGGTGTAGTGGTAGGTGGAGTTCACCAGCAGAGAGAGTGTGCTTTTCTTTTTTAGATGCCTTTAAAACCTACACTACCCTATGGGAGGGCAGGCCCAGGAGGTTCCCACGCAGTAATGAATGAGCGGGGAGTGGCCTGGGTGGAGGGTGGTCTGGCCCATCCCCAGACAACCTATGTGAGCCCCAAACTTTTCCTACGTCCAGCCTGCCTCCCCCAGAGGGACTGTTCAGGGGTAGGAACTGGAGAGAGGGAAGAGGGCAAAAAGAGAAGAGTGAAGGGGGAGGCAAATATGATCAAGGTACTTCATATATATATGTATGAAACTAGAATAATCAGCCCAGGCATGGTGACTCATGCCTGTAATCCTAGCTACTTAGGAGATGGAGATCAGGAGGATCATGGTCTGAGGCCAGCCCAGGCCAAAAGTTCACAAGATCCCCATCTCAACAAGTGGCCTGGCAAAGTGACACATGCCTGTCACCCTAGCTACATGCAGGAAGCACAAATGGGAAGATCAACATCCAGTCCTGCCCTGGGCATAAAACAAAACCTATCTCAGTAACCAATGCAAGAAGTGCTGGTGGAGTGGCTCAAGTGATAGAGTGCCTGCCTACAAGCACAAGACCCTGAGTTCAAACCCCAGTACTACCAAAAACATGAAAAAGAAAAAGAAAATAGAATAATGAAATCCCTTAAAAATTGTTTTAAATGGGGAGGGAGGGATAAGAAAGAATAATAGAGGGAGGTGAATTTGATCAAAGTATATTATATGTATATATGGAAATATCATAATGAAACCCCCTTGTACAGTTAAATATATTCATGAAAAATATGTTCTGTTTCCAACTCTTCCATCTAGAATGTGCTTGTAAGTAATTGTATTTTCACTTATTTGTGGTTGAGTATTTTTTCCTATTTTAAAAACAGGCTCCCAATCCCAGACCTACAAGAGCATTTTCCTTCGCTGCTGGGAGTGCTGAAGGAGTCTGTGCAGTTGAACCTGGCTCCACCTGGATATTTTCTGCTTCTCAGGTACCCTGTCACCACATTCACATGGAGGTACTGTTTGCTTTTGGGACATATTTTATTTCTGCAGCATTTTTGATCAAAAGCTGATTGTCTCTCAACAGCATGCTGAATGACTTTATAACAAGAACTCCCAACCTGGAAAGCAAGAAGGATCAAAAAGACTTGCAGGTGTGTATGTGAAGGTGTTTATCAAGGTGTTTTTATGTCTGCAGTGCCAGCCATCTCAGGGCATGTCACTGCTGATAATGACTGTGGGCCTTTGTTCCCAGGTCTAACTTCACTGACAAGGTTCAGGCCCTCCTGCTAGTGTTTACTGAGGAAGGCGCTCTATGTGAATTTCTTCCCTTAAAACCTTTGTTTTCCTCCATTACAAAAGCAATGCATGCTCATAGGAGATTTCAAAAATACTGAAAAATAAAAATAAAGCTTGCCCAGAGAAGATAAACTTCTCAAAGTAGAATCCTGAGTGATAATATAGAAATCATGTTAGAATTAGAAAATTACTATTTTACCAGTTAGAAACATTGAGTGAGGGCTGGCAGAGTGGCTCAAGTGGTAGAGCACCTGCTTAGCAAATGTGAGGACCTGAGTTCAAACCCAAGTACTGCAAAAAGAAAACATTGACTGAGTTGGTTTTGTCAAAGGCTTTGATTAAACTGAGATGTGCAGTATCCCTCATTTCCAATGCACCACACACAAAATACCAAAACGCAAGGATGCACAAGTCCCTTATCTAAAAGAACAATATTTGCACATAATCTATCATATACATACATTTTTCTTGTGTTTGTGTGGGGCACTGTACTGGGAATCAAACCCAGGACCTTATGTGTGCTAGGTAAGCACTATACCACTGAGCTGTATTCCCAGCTGTGTTTTTTGAGATAGTCTCAGTATGTATCCCAGGCTGGGCTTGAACTTGTGATCCTCAGCCTCACAAGTGCTGGGATTATTACCACACCTGGCACTGTGTGTGTGTGTGTGTTATTGGGGATTAAACCCAGGACTACTGAAGTACATCCTCAGCCTTTTAAAAAAATTTTAACTTGAAACAGGGTCTCACTAAATTGCCCAAGATAGCCTCAAAATTGTGATTCTCCTGCCTCAGCATCCCAACTTAAAGTTGTTTTGTTTTTTTTTT